CTTCTACTCACGAGTAGCTTGTACCGTCACTACTATTTCTCTTTGAAGCTCATCCTCACATGGGTCCTGCATGGTAAATCTATTCAACCAAGATGCCTTTAAAGCGGGTATAGAGAACAACTCCTTTATGACAAGGAATCAACAACTCCAAGATTAGAGTTGAGAACCAAAATATTCCAAAAATTTATCTCAGTCAATCACAAACTTTCAAAAACTATGGAGGGGGTTCTGTAGGCTGTCTAAAAATTACTGCATATAGTTATTCCCTATCAAACACTGATGATGAAAGTTATAATTTGACGGCTTCTAGAAGGCTACAATTTAAAAACTTTCACGTAGATCAATGAATGTTACAATCAGACGATCTTCACAAAAACCAATGAAAGCTCTAATTCAACAGCCTTCACAATCAATATCGGGTGTTATAATCTGATGACTCTCATATTTTCAAGGAGCCAAGACGAAGATTATAAAATGACAATCTTCGCAACACTCTGACAAAAGAGATTACAAGTCAACGATCTCTTCATATCTAAACATAGAGCTCATTGCTACCTTTTTAGCCCAAAACACAGGGTTCATCGTTGTGTTCTAGATCCAAACACAGAGCTCATTGCTACGTTTTCAGCCTAAAACACAGGGTTCATCTGCATTCTAGATCCAAACGCAGAGCTCATTGTTGTGTTTTCAGCCCAAAATACAGGGTTCATCGTTGCGTTCTAGATCCAAACGCAGAGCTCATTGCTGTGGTTTCAGCCTAAAACATAGGGTTCATCGCTGCGTTCCAAATCCAAATGCAAAGCTCATTGCTATATTTTTAGCCCAATACATAGAGCCCAACTCTACGTCCCAGGATCAAGACGTAGAGTTCATTCTAGAATGTGAATTTCGCGTTTGACTGGTTCAAACAGAACCTGAACGGTTTCAAAACCGTGTTCTAGTAAAGTGAAATGTTCAGATCATTAATGGAAAGCAAACTCAACATGAACATCGAGTGAGGCATTCCATCGACAATAAGAAGAACCAATTTTTTAATAAAGGGAAGGATCTCTATCGATCTTTCTCTCTTTTGTAAATCAGGAATCCAATCGAGAAGATTTGTAATTTTTTTTTTCTAATTCTGTTAGAGAGAAATTATATTAAGGGAATTGTACTTAATTTTTTTCTAAGTCTGTTAGAGAGAATAATACGGATTCAATTCTCTAATTTTCTTCTTCAATTTTCCTAACAAACACCTTCATATCCACCTCCATGCCAAACTAGGCCCCACAACACACCCTAACTCCATTGTTCACTCCAACACCATTTGTGCCTATCCCATCTTCTCTAACTCCTTCGAGCATACCTCCGATGCCACTATCGAACTAGGACTTTGCATCAATTCCTCCACCGACACTACCTTCATTAAATCATCAACCACCATTATCAAGTTCGCGACCATGAAATTGCCAGGGTAAGTAACTTAATAAATTTTGTTTGCAATAACACTTTGTCTTCTAATTTCCTATTTGCATTGGCAGAGCAAAGGAGAATGAATAGCAAGAAGAAAGAGAAGAAAATTACTCAATCATTTTAGTTGCTAATTTGGAGTGAGTCTTTCTGTGAGAGAAGGAAGGATGGAAAGGGTGCTACATAGCCCTTCGAATGATACAGATAGTGTTTGAAGTGGCTTTTGTGATTAATTAGATCATTGGATTTTTTTTAATTTTGCCAATTATACTATTGATGAACCCTTTTTTTTATTCTTATTTTCATGAGAAATACATGTTACATCTTACTTTCAATTTTTAGCTTTATAATTTCTATTAGTGATATCGCGTGATTTTCAACGTTACTCTATGCATGAAATAATTACTTCTTCATTAATATTACATTATATGTGTTAACATCAATGTGTTCATGTATATATCTATGTATAGATGGATGTATTGAAAGGAGAAATTATCACATTTATATTGAGCTTAAATGTATTCATGTATGTATTTAAGGATGAGTTGGAGGACATGTTGGGAAAAATATTTTAACATCCAAATCCACTTTTATAATAGTTTAGGATAAGATAAAAAAATAAACTAGGATATCCTAGCTTAATTTTTGGTGGTTTATAAACCACAAGGGTTGTACAAGTAAAAGATCAATATACCTCTAATTATTTAAAAAATATCAAGCCCCATTTATCCCTCTCCAACCCTATTAAACGCTTTTTGGCCATCTTGAGAACAATTGTGATTTATAAGCCACACATTTATCAAATACTATACTATTGGAAATGGATTATAATCCAGTTATTGCCTTATAATATAATTATGAATTACAAGCCAATTAGATTATAATTCAAAGTTGACAAATATGATCTAAGTCTGGTTATTTTAGAATAAGTAATTATTTGTATTAGAGTAGAAGTCTTGATATGGTTGTTTATCTGGTCTAAAATTGAATGAAGCTACAAAAAGCTGTAAAAGAAATTACATAAGGTGTAGAGAAGTGAAAAAGTTGATATCTAAGGTTTGTGAGAAACTTTGAGAGAATGAACGGATTCTTGTTAGTTTCTTGAAGAATACAATAAAGACAAGAACTTGTAAGATGGTATTAAAGTAGACTCAACTCTTCTATCATCGATGTAAGTGATTGTCGAATCATGTTAACTTATTTGTCTTTTACCGATTTACTTTTCTGCGTGATTATCACTTTTGGTACTATTGTATTTTTAGGTTTTCTCTTCTCATGTGTATCCATATTGCAAGTAGATTGTTCATCCTTGATAGATGGAGTTGATCTAATTGGGTAAATTTTAGTGATGCTTCTATGCAGATTGTCGATAGCAATTGTCAAATAGTGAAGACTGTGCATGAAGAATACGTGCTTGACCAAACTATTGAAAACACGACATTCAACAAAGAGCAATAAGTATATTATGACTATTAATCAAAATTAATTAAAATTAGAAGAATACATGGAATGCTTCCCGATCCTCCATAATGTCACCTCTTAAGATCTACCTGAAAATCCCTAGATCTACCAAAAAAACTTCCTTAAGAGAAAAAACCTTCAACTAAAATCAATCTGTCATTGAAGATAAGCAATACAAAAAGATAGGTTCTTGAAAAATTTTATTCTTTTATTTTATATTATCTTTATAAGATTTTATCTTCCTTTAAAAGGCTACGTATGAATCCTATTTATAGGATTGGACTAGAACCCTATTTATAGTATTAAAATAGCCTTGCAGATAACAAATTCTAAATAGTTTAGAATTAATCCAAAACTCAATCCATAATGGTTTAGGATAGAATAGAATTTATTGCATTTATAGCTCTTCTAATAACATTAGTGAGACCAAGTGGGTCCCATATCGAGAATCAATTAATAATCAAATTAATAATTATAATTTAATATTGAAATCTTTATCTGACCAACTACTCATAAAAGCTCTTTCATAATGTTAGATTAATTATATAAAAATAATATTATCTTACATGCAGTCCTCTTCAGTATTATTTATTTTAGGTAACTCTTTTTGAGCAGGACAATTTACCTATTTACTCATGTCTAAATTACAATCCCCATAAAAAAAATAAAAATTATTTTAAAATATCAAATATATTTTATTATTATAAGAAAATAAAATTTAAAAATAATTTTCAAAACCACCCGCCGATAATAATTTTATAACTTTATGGGAATGCATAATAAATTACCTCATAACAATGAGCATATTGAATCCTATTTAGATATCCATCATTTTCCTAAATAAAATTTAGCAACCCAATATTTTAGGTTGTGTAGCGCTTGCTAAATAAGATTAATCATCACGTCAAAGCATACTAAATTATCAAATTGTAAATGAGAATATCATCAAGTTAATAATTTGAGTACTCTATCTCTTAGATGACTCATCCTGGAGAATCCAAATGTGGTCTAGTACTACACACATCACAATGCGTACTTGTGACATACACTCAGGGAGTCCCCATTCTCAGTGGTTGAGACTCACCGCCACATCTCACATGTCGATGTCGTGGATAATAACCTAGTATAACTAAGTTATCATTTACTAATTATAGGCTAAGCATAAGTTTAAGAAATCTTTAGGTTAGATCACATCTGTAAGCAAGTGACCATCTTACTGCATGATCTAATAAAATAATTTTTAAGGATACTATAACAATTATAGAAATAATACCCAAATTATATGCGCAACAATTAAATTTATGTTTCAAGAATATTACATAATTTGTGTTGGATGTTCAAGGGCATATTATTACTACTCCAACACAAAGCAATGTCACAACAAAGTCGGTTGAGATCAATTATCTAGAGAACCCACGTGGACTGATGGGTGGTCCAAGATCTACTGTCTTTTTCTAGATTTGAAACCCTACTTTAATAAAATACTAATAGGGGCTTATTGGAAAACTCTATATGGTTAAACATTATTTACTTGGTGCTTGGCCATTAGAAAAAGAATTACTGGTATCTTCGAGGGAGAAAAATAAGAAAGTACGCTTGAGAAAATTTACAAGTGAAAGAGTCATTTGTAATCTTCCTAAACATACATAGTAAATGATATCTCTCTATTCTCATAAAGGCATACTGTCGAATCACGTAAAATTTCTCGTTTCTTCTTATAGCTTTTGATTATTTTGTGCTTATCATAAGGATTCCGCACCATACCTCAACAATCGGTGTCAAAGGCACGGTTTTTCCTAACACAATAGTACTCAAGAAATTCTCGAAAATAC